AATTATTTAATATTATTTGTCTATATATATACCAGGTGAATAAAAAGTATGGAACCAAACGTTTTTTGCTTAAACTATTTACTTTTTGAAAAGACTAATTGATGAGTGATAAAGTACTATAAAAATGTGATGATTTAACAAGAATAAAATTTTTCGAAATTTTTTTTTGTTTTTGAGTTCTACAAAAAAATTAATTTTTTTAAATGGCAACCCACTATAAAATCATTTTTATCATAAAAACTATACTCAAAGGATTACAACTATCTGCTTTATATTTATTTTTTTCAAAAAAAAATTTTCACATAAATTGCAAATTTGACAAAAAAAAATCGCGTAACTCAAAAACAAAACAAAATTTCGTTCTGAAAATACGATCACATTTTTTATATTACTCTAATTTATATTAATTATTATTTTCTGGAGGCAAATGATCAAAAATATACAGGGTGCGCCAGAACTCGCGTCCCAGAGAAAAATGTCAAATACCGGCGACAATAGGTCGCCAAAAAGTGCAGCCGAAGAAGTAATTTTTGCTTGCATAAGAGAGTTATTAGACTCTTAAATCCGCCAATCCCAGAAGGGCACCTCAAGGTGTAATCGAAAAATTATATCCATTGCTAGGTTACGAAAATAATACCAATTTGCCCAGAATTTTAAAAAATAGCTGGTCTACTGGAATTTTTAGTTTGACATTTATTAATTTGTGGGTGACATTACCTGCTAGTTTGCAGTATTTTTCTCGCATAAGAGGTTGTACACGAGTATAATGAGACAGAATCGTTAATTATTATCAACAATTATCAAAAATTATTTTGAAACATTCTGGAAATTCCTGATGAACCGACTTCTTCACAGGTATTGTTCCTTCTCAACTTTTTCTTCGATCTGATACAGATTAACAAACCGATAAATGAATACAGTAGACCAGCTATTTTTTAAAATTCTGGGCAAATTGGTATTATTTTTGTAACCTAGCAACGGATATAATTTTTTAATCACACACTGAGGTGCCCCTCTGGGATTTTTTGATTTAAGAGTCTAATAACTTTCTTACGCAAGCAAAAATTACTTCTTCGGCTGCACTTTTTGGCGACCTATTGCCCCCGGCATTTGACATTTTTCTCGGGGGGGGGGGGGGGGGGGAGTTCTGGCGCACCCTGTAGCTGCGTAACTGACTGAAATGGGGGTAAACTTCTAGACAAAGATAGAAACATAAAATTTGGAAGATATGTTCCTTAGCGGTTGTAAAGGTGCACTAAGACAAGATTTTTCAAAAATAATTTGTAAAAACTTATTTATCCCCTTAGAAAAGAAGGTAAAATGGGGTGAATATCTACATGAAATTTGGCAGATATCTTCCTTAGAGGGTGTACAAGTCCACTAAAAAAAGATTTTTCGAAAATCAATCTCTACGGAGATGAAGTGGGGCGTAAATATTTAAACAGAAATAGAAACAAAAAAATTGGAAGATATGTTCCTTAGCGGTTGTAAATGTGCCCTAAAATTAAGACGTTTAAACAAAAATAGAAACAGGAAATTTGGCAGATATGTTCCTTAGAAAGTGTACAGGTCCGTTACAATAGGATTAAAAAAAATAATTTCTATGGGGGTGAAATGAGGTGTAAATATTTAGGTAAACGAAGATAAAAATATAAACTTTGGGAAACGTATTCCTAAGAGGGTGCAGAGATCCGCCTAGAAAGAATTGTTTTGAAATATATTTATAAGAGTGAAATGGGTGTCAACACTTAAACAAAGATAGAAACATAAAATTTGTTAAATATTTTTCTTAGAGAGTGTAGAAGTCCACTTATCAGGCACTTTTCAAAAACTAACCTTTAACGGGATGAAATAGGGTGCGAACATTTAAACAAAAATATAAACATAAAAATTAGAATTTTGACTTTTAAGGGTGTAAAGGTGCACTTAGAAGACACTTTTTGAAAATTCGACTAGGTGAAATGGGGTGTAAGCGTTTGTAACGTATTTTCGTCATTTTCTTATAAGATTTTTTTTATAAAAATCGGCCCTCTACTCCCGCGTTGTTTTGAGTTGATAAATCAAGAAATAAATAGATAAACAGACTAACTTCATATTTCTTCTTTGAAAAACAACAAAAGTCATCGAAAATCTATACGTGGACGAAGTCATGGATGGATGATATTACTTATATAAATGTAAATTATTCAACACTTTTAATCACATTTCCGTCATGGTCACTCCCGGATTTACCCTTATTGGCAACATTTGAGTCACAATGATTTCTTTGTTTATATTCTGTTAAATACTCAAACGGTTTGCTCTATGCAAATGCGAATTCATCCATTAAATAATACTTGTCGTACTTTCGACCTTAACAAACAAATAAAACGTTACGTAATCTTCTATTATTTGTTCAGTTAGGATGTCACGCACTATTTTAGTTCCAAGCATAGAAGAAAATCTAATTAACTCCCAAGTCTTGCCTATTAGCTTGGATTAAAGGATATAAATTAAAAGCAAGTAAACTAGAACTGGAGTAAAATATTAACAGAAACCAACTCTCTGTAATCGAAGTAAAACCACGGCGATAATATCTCTAATTTACATACGCAATTAACGTCTGCAATAACCCTACATCTATATTTTGCGACAAAAATTCTCTCGGTACTAAAAACAATTCCATAGAGGAAACAAACCAAGCAGTTAGCGATCCCTCCACTAATGCATAATGCATGCCACATCGAAGAATATGTACACAAGTTTGCTTTATTACCTGTCGTATAAATCACTCGAGTCAATCGAATGAATCAAATTATTCGATTAATTGTCTCGTTTAGAAACAGTTGAGATGAACTAAAAATGGCGGCGACATGGTCGTAAATTCTCAAGCGAACACAGGTGCATTAAGTGACTGTTGGATTCTTATAAGAAACCATCGCAAATTAAATTGTAAAATATTGACAAGTCGTGTTATCACATTTTTATTAGCGCCCTTCGAAACGAGGAAATTTTTACGACGGGCAGAGTGCAACAATTAGACAAATTAAATAATTTGCAGCCTTGAGACAATGTCAAAGGTTCTGAAAAATTAGTCGAACTTGTATCTAATTAAAAATCTAGGTTGCTGCTGTGGCAATTTTAATTTTCTTTTATTTTTGTGAGAAACTTTAAAACATTCTTTAGTATTACTGTGCGTGCAAAGAATTTAATTTTTCCAAGTTTTTAAATTCATACTAATTACCTACTTGGGATGCAAGACGAGGACATTTCTACGAAGAAATATACACCTGAAATGCTTTTCAAAAATTTTTTTCAGTAGTCTCAAACAAAAAATAAACAAATAAAAAAAAAAATTTTTTTATAAAATTTTCTTTAAATTCTTTTTTTTAAATCATCAGGAAGTGCTCAAATAACTATTTTAACAAAAAGTATATCTATCGATTTAAAAAAAATGGTACCTACTTACCTAGAATAATTTTTGCATTTGGCTGTTACACGTGGTATATAAATACGTAATTGTAACAATACTGATTACTAAGTATAATAAACAATTACAAAATTATCGAAAAAATTTGAAAGTTTACTTTTTTGTTTTTTGATTATAGCTACTCATAAAAATTGATGTCAAATATAGGTACTGCTCCACAAGAGTTAAGGAAGTGTGCAATAATTACAATGACTAATTAAATTAATAAATTATTTAAAAAAAAATAATCAATATAAAGTGAGATAAAGGCAGATATCTTTTTACTTTTTTGTTTTTGCTAGATTCCACGATGCTCAGAAGAATAAAATTTATTTGTTTTAAAAATAATGCGACTTCCTTAACTTTTGTGGAGCAGTTTATAATTCTGAAGCTAATTATTTTTAGAAGTGTAATTAGATAGAAAATTTTTATATGTATTTACAACCTAACGTTTGTGTTTGGAAAACACAATATCCCATATAAGCAATTTGTTTGCAGCACGACCGGAAGGAGTGCTATGTAATTTTTACGGTTGTACCTATACGTTTGGGTTCGAACTCTACAAGACATATGCAAAGTAAATAATAAAATTTGCTTATTTTTTTTGCAAAAATATGTTTGCAATAATGGGCACCTGTTATAAAAAATTAACTGTTGATTTGTATCTAATCAGTTTTCTAAATGTAGAAATTTTAAATAAAATTATTCTTAATTTAAATTTGATAGAATAAAGATTAGAAAATAGTTAAATAAAAAACTCATTTAATTAAATTAAAATTATTATGCATTGTTCTGTGCTTTGAAAGACTTATTATAATTTTAGATTGTTGAGCAAATCAGCGTATTTCAGAGAAGACTTTCCATGCAAAAGATTTTTTTATTAACCTCTATTTCCTGTTTGTATGATTATTTCGTCTCATTGTCGTGATAAATGACCGAGACAAGAAAACTGAATGAACCTAAGCAACTGAATGAGTTAGAAAAATCCTTCCCACTATAGCCTTGAAAACAATTCACAATAACCTCTATTGTTTTAAAAATTTGGAAGTACTACTGAATGACTTCACTTGTAGTAGAAACAAACAAAAACCCTAATTGGCTATTTATTTGTAATACTTGTTTAATAAACATTTTTAATTGAATGTTATTTTAAATAAAAAATTCATTGAATAAGTAATAGGTAATTTGCTACTGGTTTTAGCTCTTTTACTGTTATTTTTCCAATTCGTGCCCACTTACCTTTTTAGAAATTCTTATCTCCGTCCTTGTCTGGAGCTTTCAAAATTAGCATGTGATCAATACTTTCGCCTGTTGTTAGAAAGAGATAAAAGACATCCGCTACATTTATTTACAGATACAATTATCAGGTTGTTTTATAGAATTTACATAATTACAGGTGATAGTAGAATACGACTTTAGGCGAATAGTTCTACTTGGAAAAATAGAAAAAGGGTACAAGATTATTACATTTTTTATTTCTATTTTTTCGAATAAAATAAATAAACAGTTTGAATCAATAACATAACAATGTTGAGAGCATATTTACATTGCATAATACAGCAATGGCGCATCTTTCTATCTCACTCAGTCGTTTATCTGACTTAGGTATGAATATGAAATTTCGTCACGCACACTAGACTGCTGTTAGAGACCGTGTTAACTATTCTGTTAATGATTCATTTATTTATTTATCTATAAAATCTAAGTACTGCCAATTTTGTTTGTAAGAATCCATGATGTCATTGTTTTCTGTCTTTGTTTTTTGATTAACGAAGGTGCCTAATAATTGAACTTTTTATTAATAGAGTAACTTACATTGTACAATATAAAACAAAACATAAATGGATGTTTATAAAACACATTTAAGGGATACTTAATAATATTTATGTGTATACATATACATACATAAACACAACAATATGTATTTTGAACACAACAAGTAAAAATACAAAAGTCATAATAAAAACATTTAGGTAGAAAAAAATTACATAAATTTAAAAGTCTAATTGCAAAACGTCGTCAATAAATATTTTTTTGTAATAACTAAGTATAACAGTAGGTATGGCCAGTCTGAGATCACTTTAAAAAATTTCAAAGACTGGCGTTGGAAATGAACACGAAACTGCGTTCACTTACTCTAAAAAAATGTGTCAATAATCACGTAAAAATAAAATAATTTTTTCTATTAGAAATAACATTTTTCAAGTCGAAGAGTAGGTATATACACATTTTCTTTTATCTAGTGGAATAATAAAAATTCCTTTATGTTTTGATACAGACACGCGACGAAGAAAACCTATTTCTTAGGTCAGTTAGTACATGTTTTAATAGTTAATATTAATAAAATTCGGATTTCTAGAGAAGTTTTTTTTTCAAAATATATTACAGTAGTAAGTGACATTACACCAAGCAATATATTTAGATCAACTAAAAAACTGTCAACGAAAAATAAAAATTTTTGCATCAACCGTATACAACAAGCCACAGATTTACAGGTACCTAAATAGTACTTTTTTAATTATATACATAAAGTGTGGGCAGATAAAAACTTAAGTAACACATGAGGGAAAGTATGGCTGGTAAAGTTAGCATTTCTATACCTGCAATAATTTACTATACACATTGAACTACAGGCAACATTGATTACATTTTGTTTAAGATTTACCAACGAATTACAATCTATGACAACGACAGTCGACATTTTATGTACAAGAAGTCTTACATCACGTACAATAATAATAGGTACATAATAAAATCCGGTACCTCAAGTGCTTTGCACCAAAAAATTTGCACAGGCCCTAATTCGAAAAGAAAAGTCCACAAGTCCGTCACATACCTATGAATATTTCCTAAATAACTCTTTGGCACTGCAAAGAAGCGTTCGTTCCAGGGTTGCACCCCTTATCAGTCTTAGGGCGCCGCGGCCAACCCGTGGCCTAACACAACCCCGGAAAAAGCCATAGGTCACTGGTGGTGCTTGAGACTGCCGTTGGAAGCCACGTGGTGATTCACCACGTGATGCTGCGCGTGTATGTGGTGGCCGGCGTGGTGGTGGTGGTTCTGGTTGTTGGTGGCGGCGTTGTTGTTGTTCTGTTGCTGCGCCGCCTGCCGCTGAGAATTCTTCTTGTTCTTCATCCGCCGATTCTGGAACCATATCTTCACTTGCCGCTCCGTTAGATTCAAATTTCGCGCCAACTCCCATCGTTTCTGTTTCGACACGTACGCATTGAACAGGAACTCCTTCTCCAACTCCAGAGTCTGGAACTTCGAGTACGGCTTGCGTTTTTTCCGCACCGTCACCTGACCGGTCCATTCCAATGGGTTGCCGCTCGTCCCACATGGTACGCTCACACCCATCGAGCCCAGCGAACCTGCGGAAAAAAGAGACGAGGGGGATGATCCCCACATCACTGTGAACAATTAACCTGTCTATATCACACCCAGCCGCAACCGCAACCCCAAATTTTTCAAGCATGCTACGATCTACTGTTTGTCCGTAACCAGAGGCAAACCGCAAAAATAAAAGAAAACAAATTTTCTTAAAAAATAAACTATGTTAAATACATGTAATTAATATAATTCAAGTTAAAGTTTTAAGTTGTTCTTATGATTTAAAAATTATAGTTTTTCTTCTAACTAAATACATCCTCGACAATCTTAAAGAAATTCTTAAAATTCCGAAAAATCTTTCAGTCTATACACTAATTACATTGAAAATCTGCGATTTGGCTCAAACTGGATTTATAACGATAAAATGTGAAAATTTGGGGTTTTCTTCGTCCGTTATAGGCTGTATCCGCCCTAGAGTTGGAAAATCAGTGCGGATTCAGAGCCTACTCCGTCGTGCGGTGTGCGTGACAAGTGATAGTCAGCTGTGCGGTCACGTGATCGAATGACGTCAGTCGTAGTAACGCGCGGTCGTTATTCCGGTCCCTAAGCGTTGCGTATTTGTTCTCGTCGAGACGAAACAATTCCACGTGGAAGAAAATCAAATCGATTTTAAAACTTTAATGAACCTCAAATCGTCCTAAAGCCGGTTTAAAACGCTTAGCTTCTATCGTGTTTTTTCTACTATGTAATTGGTTACTGATTGATTTGAGTATCGATTCGCGAAAATTCGATAGAAAATTCACCACACAATACGCTATTAACGAAAGGAAATGAATGGTAGTGAATGCAGACTGTTGGCACTACTGACTGCGTTGTAGCACTTTTACTATGTAATAAAACTGACCTAGACAATAAAAGACTTAAAAATCTTCAATGAAGACCTATTAGTTATTACGAGCTTTCGCGAATACCCACCAAATACCTGATACTCATTTGCATTTTACTACTTACATTGTTTGTTTACCGATCATAATCCCAAATTTACATATAACATAAATAAAAAAAAGTTGTAAAACTATAATGAGGTCAACAACCGGAACATATGGACAAGAATTTTTTCGGCAAGGACGGCTTATCTTCAACCTGATTCGATTTACCCCCGAGCGATGTGATAACACGAAGGGGAGCACCCTCACCAATTTTAGTCCTCTTTCGACCTCTTTGTGCCATCTAGTGACACACATACTTATCACTGGCTAGACGCAACACATACCATTCTAGCGGAGATTTAATTCATTATTAAAATTTTCTGGAACTATGCATTTTCTATTGTTATTTTCCAGTTACTTTTATTAAATGAAAACTTTTTTGATGAAATGTTGTCAAGTTGATAAGTCTTATCATTCTGATGCTATTATTGTAATAATTATTTGTTATTAGCGCAGAAGTAATGTTTTTCTTGAGTTATTTAAAATTTACATCGGTTTTAAAGATGAAATACATGAATGAATTCAAACAGTTGCCTTAGTTCGAGCCTAAGTTTTATTTTTATTTATAAATTTTCAGGAAGCTTTTTTTTTATCTGTAAACACCTAAAAATTATGAATAGAAACTGTTTATATAAATTACAGTTCGATTTAAAATGTGTTTGGGATTGGATCTACAGCTATTTTGTTAGGATGCGTTAGTATCTAAACATTTTAAGTCTATGTAAAGTAGACATAAAACAAAATTATAGTTTATCATTATTGAAAATGTATTTTTTATTTGAAAAAAACAAACACTTTTAATAAATAATTTAGTTTATACTTAATAGAAAACATTTCTGGAAGTTTTGAGTCCTGAAAGTAGACTTTACTGTTATTTTGATTAGAAAAGGAAGACTGGTTTGCTAATTTCCAGGATGCTAATTAGGTGTATTTTTTAGTAGTGAACGTGCAGAAAAAACTGAATAAAAATCGGTTTATTAAAAAAATACAGTTGGATTTAGATGGAATAAATGATTGTTGGATATTTTTGATTTCTGTGGGTAAAAATGTAAAGAATGCACAGCTGACCATGTTTCGCTTCTGCGCAATGTGTTATTGGCGCGTTTCCTTGGTAAAAGTTCGTCAAAGCGTGTGCTCACCTGGTGGAGGGTACGGCGTGGATGGAACAGGTTCCGGCCCGTAATTTCTGAGTCCGTATCCGGCGGCATCGTGGTGAAAACTGGCGGTTTCGGCCACCATGGCGGCGGCAGCAGCAACCCTCCCCCGGTCGTCGGCCGGGGTGAGATAGGGGACGGGCTGGTGGTCCACGTGGTGCCTGGAGGCGGAAGAGTAGGCCGAGTAGTTGCACCAGGAGGATGAGGAGAAACCCTGATGGCAGGAGGAGA